ATCACCTGTTAAAAAAAACACCAGTACTTGGCCCATACATCGGGCGCGGGCCGTTGCCGTTAACGCTACGCAAAGTTCGGGCTTTGGGGTACTGGACCTCAATGGCTGGAAACCCCAGCCAAAAAAAATTGAAACGGTACCCTGGCGCTTCGGCAAAAATTGGCGCGCAGGGGTATTCCAGGCTCGGCAACGATAACTGGGCCAAGTACTGGTGGTTTAAGCCACCAGTACTTGGCCCAGCTTTAGGCCGTGGAGAAAAATAGAGTAGAAAGTGCTAGAAACGTTTCTAGTCAGATGAATTTGGGCGCTCCTGTAGTGGCCCGTATGTTTCCTAAAATTGTGGCTTGTTAACCGGCACGACTTTAGGAAGTACTGGTGGTTAAGCCACTAGTACCTTTGTCGCTTCAGAAACGAGGGAAAACGCCAGCCCCCGAAGAATTCGGAGGCCGGGCCCAACGACGGCTGCCATTGATAAATCTAATCGGCGGCCGTCGTTTCATTTCGGCCCCTCCTGAAAGGTCGGAGGCCTGCTATTTTCCGAACCGACAAAGGTACTAGTGGTTAAGAAACAAAAAAGAAAAAAAGTGGGGAAACATACTGGTGGTTTAATCATATAGTCCGTGAACAGAGCGTCTTTTATGTCTACCTTGTACTCTCGAGTCTGGACTTTTTTTATGACAGAGGCAGCTTCCAGTACAATAGGCATAAAGTCTGTTCAAGACAGATTCAATAGAAGACCCTTCAGACCATAATAACATCACACCAATCCCTACAACTTTCGTTTTGTGCACTCCACCATTGCACACTTCGCCGGACGCCGCACATGGCATCCTCACTCACCCTTTTTCGCTTTCCTTTTTGATTTAACCTCCACCAGGCATGCTCACTCACCCTAATACATGTATCATCAAAACATCACATGTTCACCGAATACACAACTTCAAAATCAATCGAAATTACAATGCATGTACTTTTCAGCCTCAGGATATATATATTATATATATATATCGTCAAATAGAACTGCCTACGGTAAACCGTAGGCAGAGAGGGAGAAGAGGACAACAAACGAGGGGCTGTGACAAACTGTTTCGTCGGAGTTTCACCGACTCATCAGGAGGCTGAACCCTCAACAGTCTGTAGAATCCCCTCACTGATTACACTGTAAGTGATAATCCANACCTTAACCAAAATCAAAGTAGACTATCACTCACCCACACCAGATGGAAAACTCTACAGACTGTCGGTTATATATATATATATATATATATATATATATATATAGTCAAACAGAGCTGCCCGGTAAACCGTAGGCAGAGAGAAAGAGGGAGAAGAGGACAACAAACGAGGGGCTGTGGCGAACTGTTTCGTCGGAGTTTCACCGACTCATCAGGAGGCTGAACCCTCAACAGTCTGCAGAATCCCCTAACTGATTACAATGTAATTAACCCCGGCTGTGGTTAAGCATCAACGACTGCCCGACAACTGATACCTGACGTGGGCACCAACCACTGCATATAGGGGGGGAACGGTGGCTGGACAACATTTCAACACTTTCTTTGAGAATAAAAGGAAACGGAAGGGAAGAAAATAAAGAGAGGATTGTGATGACCGCTGCACAAGGATGGCACCCAGAAATGGAGAAATGGTCCAGATTTCTGTAAGCTACCTAACAAACGGAACGGAACCTGTTTTGGTGGGTGGGGGGGGGGAATCAAGCGCCAGTTTTTTTTTCTCCCTGAGAAAGGAATCTTTTTTTTTTTTCCTTGGATAACAAATCTCTTTTTTTTTTTCTTTTTTCTTTTCTTTTTTGAAACTTTTGTGTCCGGGGTGTGTACTTACTTACAGGGGTGATACCAGCATCCTCTAAGTAGGTTCCGGTTTTTGAAGGCTCCATTTATTGGTGGGGGGAGGTGCACCTGCTAGAAACCGGGTCCAGCGTCGCTCTAACAACTGAAATTGTATTGAGCTTAAAAAACCATCAGCGAGGAGCTGTCTGTCTATGGTGTTTCTGTTGCTGTTGTCCTATTGTCCAGTTGGTCAAGTGTGTTCATATCTTTTCCGTCCGAGTTGCCCCGAGTCATCCCCGACCACCATTAAACCTTCGTTACCCCTAACCCCTAACCCCAATATACATCCCCTCTGGTCCACCCCCTGGCTTGCAATATACATCCCCTTCATAAATCCTCAGTCCCTCTTTCTTTTCTCCTTTCCCTGCCCACTCTCCGTGTATTGTCTGTGACCTCCCAATTTCCTGTGATACTTCTTTGTGTTGTATCTTTCTACTCAACGGGTGGCCTATCCTTGGTAAATGCTTCCTAATCCCTAAACCCATCTCAATGGGCAACAGCAAGGGATGATAACCAAAAAAAAAAACAAAAAAAAACGTAAGTTACATGGGTGTACCATTCAGCGACATGGTCTGGGTAGTGTCTTAAACCACCAGTTCCCCCGCCGCCGAAAACCCCAGTCCCTGTGGGTTAGGGCCGGGTTGTACAGAGGGGCGGCGACCGTTCGTCACCAGCGGGTCCAATCCCGCCATTTTCACGCGGCAACTTTGCCAATTTTCTGCGCTCAGAAGAATTCATCAAAAGGTCTGCAAATTTGAAGGTCCTTAGATTAGGTCGTGATCTTTCAGGGGAAAATATCAGGAAAAAAAAATCATTTTGACCGTCAAATATTCGCTGCGCAGATTTGCTGCATTTCCGCAAATTCCATTTTTCAAGCCCAACCGGTTTTCCACTGTATACTACCGGTACCCCCGATGTTTCTGACGTCAGGGGGACTACCGGTACGCCCGAGGTTTCTGACATCAGGGGAACTGGTGGTTTAACACACAAAAAAAAAACGTATGTACATACGTACGTTTAGAACCCGCATATTTTTTTAGGCAAAGTTGAATAGAGCGTACGTACGGTCTTTTCGTATTTTACTCGTACTACTGTCTTAAACCATCAGTACTTGGCCCATACATCGGCTGCGGGGCGTTGTCGTTAACGCCCCACAGCTTTCACGGCCTCTGGGCCGATGATGAATCGCATCAACGGCCCAGAGTGCGCCGCCGGCCTCCGAGAGTCATGGGGAGGGCCCCGCGGGCCCGCGCCCAATGTATGGGCCAAGTACTTGTGGTTTAACACGAAAAAAAAAACGTACGTACGTTCTATTCAACTTTACCTCCACAAAACGGGTTCTCCAAAATCGCTGATTTTGTTTTTCCCAAATAGAACGTACTGTCAAAGATAATATATGTAAGTTGTATTCGAATACAATGTACATGTCTTGTATTTGAATTTTTGCAAATCTTGACTCAGAATATCCCTCCCCCCCCCCCAAAAAAAAAAAGTCGTAAGACATTGCAACAATACACACTTCTTTTTTTTTTTTTTTTTTTTTAAGGCGCAAAAGGCTTCAATATAGCTCAACAAAAAGACCGACGAGGCCAAGGACCTCACAATTCAGCCCGGAAAAAGGAATACTGACAGCATCAGTCAGTTTAGCTTAGGCTACAGAGGGGACTATTTAAACTAGGGACTTGCTGGTCCATTGGGAGTCCTTTGGGACCTCTCCCCCCGGGTTAGTATACAGTTACACGATGGAAAAAAGCACTGCGGCGCGATCTTTTTGACATGAAGGGTATGTGGCAATTCGTGACGGTGGCTCAGGCAGTTGAGCGGGGAAAGGGATGGGCTCGGTGGGTTTGGGATGTGTTTAAATTGCTTGAGTCTTGCGTAAACACACAAGCTGCCTGGGACCCTCTTCGATCTGTGGTTTCTCTCCGTTTCCCGTTCTCTCGCCTGCCTTGCCTTTCATAAGTCTATAGGCGAAGCGCAGGTCACTGCCTGAGGAAAGGGCCGGGGGAAGCGCATGTCAGTAGATCGGGTAATCCATTGCCGACACTTGACAAAAATGATGTGTGGAGAACTATGCTGACAATAATGCATACCCTCCCTAATGATATGTGTCAAAGATGTGACAATAAAACAATGAAAAATGAACAACAATGAACAATGATCTGTGAATAACCTTCGCCAGGTGAACATCTTAAGTCCTAAATCATCCTAAATGATCCTCAATCATCCCAAATTATCATAAATTATCATCAATTGTCAATCATCAATGTAAGTGTGTTCCAAATTATAAGGGACGCTGGGCCCGGTTCCCAGCACGTGATGCTAAAAAAAAAAAAAAAAAAAAAAGATAAGAGAGGGCATGCAGACGACCTCCGGTTGTGGAAAGTGAAAGTCACGGTGTTGGGGAGCAGCCTTACAGAAAAGAAAAGGAAAAGAAAAGAAAAAAAGAAGAAGAAGGTGGTTTCTTGATGCAACACAAAGTAATCAGCAGCAGAACAACAAAGAAATAGGTAATAAGAAGCAAAGCTAAAAAAAGTTTAAAAAAGTTTAAAAAAGAAGAAAAAAAAAAAGAAAAAGACAGACAGAAAAGAGCCTAAGGTAACCATGCAAAGGTTGGGAACTTGGGAAGCCATTCCAAAAACACGAGGGGACTTCAGGGAGACAGTCGAGAGAAATGATTGCCATAATCCGAGAAGTGAAAAGACAAAAAAAGACAAAACAGATCACCAGAATTTTACTTTATTTTTAAGACAGCAGAAAGAATTGCACGACCGACCTTTCTTAGGCATGCTTTTTTTTTTTGGGTAAAGCTAAGCTATATTCTTCTCTCAATTTCGTTAGCCACACAGAGATGCGCAACACTGGATCTGGATCAAATGAAACGAACTGTGTTCTATAAGTTTCAAAAAAAAGAAGAAAAAAAAAAAACAGCAGCAAGAAATCCTGAGTGTTGATTCCAGACTACGGTAGCGGCGCCAGCAGTACTCCCCGGCATTCCCCATTGGAAAAAAACGTTTCATCGTCCCAAAAAATCGTCAGTCCACCATCACTTCGTCGAACCGCTCGAATGCGCTTTTGAACTTGCTCACGAGTGCCGTCTCCTCCTCTTTTGTCTGCTTGCACAGCTTCCAGTCTGCCCTCTCCGGCATTTTCAACAGCTCAGCAACTGCCTCCCTTCCAAATTGCAGAGCTGGTCGTTCGCCAGGTTTCACAAGATGATACTGACACACACACACATACACACACACACACACACACACACACAGGCACAGCAAACGTCGCATCGGTCAAGACTCGAGACACATGGAACACACCACGCACACACAAACACACAAACACACAAACACACAAACACACAAGCACACAATCAGTTTGATGTCTGTCTCACTTTTTTTTTGTGTGTCATTCTTCCTGGTTTTCCTGTCTGTCTTCCTCGTATTTTTTCTAAGTACTTCTTGTGTGTCCTGCTGAGCACCTTCAAGTAGTGCCAATTAGTCGGTCATTACGCATTTGGACTGCCTGCAGCACTCGTAGGGAGACTGCTCACTTCAGGATGTATGTGTTTCCTGCGGGCGATGACTCCCTGGCTCAGCGGGTGGTGGGAACCGACAGTCTGAGGTTTTCAATCGTGATGTGAGTAGGTGATGTGCCGCCTTGCTCCGTGTTGGATGTGTGGACTGCCTCGTCTGCGCTCCACCACTGCCTTGCTGCCCGTCCCGCTTGCTTCGGGTGTTGTTCTTTGCAAGCTGCTGTGTTCACTGTGTGGTGTGGCTGCAGTGCTGGTGTTGCCTTGTGCCGCACTGCTCTGCTGCCTTGCTGCCCATCCGCATGCCGTGCCTTCTGCGTCCTTTCCTTGTGTGCCGTGTAGTTTGGCTACCTTGTTGGTGTTGCCTTGTGCTTCACTGCGCGGTTGTCGTGCTGCTCGTCCGCTTGCCCTGGCGTGCCTGCAGTTACTTTTGGCGTTGTGTAGTAGTGTTGCCTCGGAAGCGTTGCCTGGTGCTTCCCTGAGTTGCTGCCCGCTGCTATGTTCCACTTTGGGACAGTCTGCCTTCAACATGGGTCAAAGGGTTCATATGACCCAAACCATCAATACGAAGATTCTGCAGATTGTCGACGGTTCAGCGTCCTGATGAGTCCATGCAACTCCGACGAAACAATCTTTTTTGGGTTTTTCTTTATAGAAAAGAAAAAATGGAACCTTATGGTTTCGGCTACTTATCCATTGTGGGGAGCATCAGTCCGGTTGCTACTCCACCGGCAAGTCAAAGCAGATACATCGTGCACACTGCACTCACTCTACGATCCTCCCGATTACGGTTGGAAGGCCTGGGCGGACAGCATTGATTACTTCCTTTTGGGAAAAAAAAAAAGGTTATACCACCCCTCACCCCTGGCTAAGTTAGCCTCGGGAGCTTTTTTTTTTTTTTTTTTTTTTTAAATGAGGCGATGCTCCAATCTATTCGTGGGGAGCAACACGGCTGGGAACTGGGACCTAATGACCATTCCCTGACACACCTAGAGGGCTCAACGGCTGTTCGCTCCTTGCTCCTCTTGGTCACCCAGAAGCTAGTTTACCCCCCTCCTTCGCCAACCCCCGGGCCCGGTCGTGATCTTCAAGGTTCAACCCGTCCCAGCACAGTGCCGGGTTCCCATCCAGAGGTACCTCTGGGAAGATGCTGGCCGCCCCGCAGCTTGTCCGAGGAGCTGTCAGACGATCCGAGGACGAGCCGCCGCTCTTTGTCTGCGGGGTGTCAGGGGTCACAACTATGCCGCCCGTACGCACTCCGCGCGAGGGACAATATTGGTGGCCGTGGGCACCTGCACTACCTTCTTCACCCGAATACAACATACGTTGTACGTCCATTATAGCTGTATTTAGACTGAAACATACCACAAATGCAGCTATAATAACCGTACATTTTATTCGGGGAAGAAGGTAGTATGTGGCTAGCCCGCACATGTCATCCGTCTCGGGGAGAAGTGTGGAGTCCTGGCTCCGCACCTCATCCGTGTCCTCTTGCACCACTCGCAGGGGGGGCCAGCTGAATCGGATCCTTCTTGCTTCCAAATTACCCACCCTGCCTCTTCCCAGATAACGCTGCGTGAAGTTGTCGTGCACCTACGCCGCTGTGATCTATCACCTAACAGCAAAAGGTAGCGCCGACTGTCAATGCATGTCCACCCAAGTACAGTTTCGAGTCCCGTTATTGGCTATCCAAGCAACGAGATCAAAGCAGTAGGTACAACTACGGGCAACTCCAGGTACATCACTGGTTCGAATCTCGATATCGGGGGGGGTTCGCTTTTCAAAACTGCGAAAACAGGACCGCAGAATCTTTGTAGGGGACGTCAGGCCCGATTCCTGGCATTGCAATATAAGGGACACCAGGCCCGGTTCCCGGATTTTGCCGGGGGGAGGTGGTGGGGGGGGGAAGACGGAGACATCTTTGACGATTTTTTTTTTATCTTTTTTTCTACGGGCTCAAGTGACCCAAATTTGTTTTGGCATATACATCATGTGAGGGGGAACCCACAGAAAATTTTTCAAAAAAAGAACTTTTTTTTTTTTTTCGAGGGAGCCAGGGGGKGGGGGGGGGAAGGGTGTCGAACATAATGTCTCCGGGCGACGTCTCCCCAGTTGTCCGATCGGACAAGTTGGACATCCAGGGGGGTCCCGGACGTCCGCCCTGGTAACATAGCTGTATTTTAAAAAAAGAAAAGAAAAAAAGAAAGAAATGCATGATACGTGTCTGTTGACTCTGTTCTGTATTCAGACTCTTGGAAAGCATACGACACTGACATAAGAAGAAGCACAAGAAAAAGAACAAAAAGAAGAAGCAACCGACATCCGAAGCAGCGTAGTTGCAGGCCATGCGACTGTGTGCACACTATGCACAGTGACTTCGACACATGTGGAAGTACTTAGGACTGGCGAACGCCGGTTGACTCTTTCCTCACTTTGTGTGCATGGGAGTCGGAGTAAACGGGGATTGCGAAAAGGATGGGGGAAGGGGTAGCGGTGGGGAGATTTTGTGTGTCTCCAGCGTGAGTATGCGCTGAACGAATGTTGTTGTTATGGGATACCCCTTGGTTATGGGGGATGGTTTTAACTTTTAAGTGCAATTCTCATTTCTGTTAAACGACCAGTACACCCGAGCCTGGCGGGCAGGTACCGCACTGGGATTGCCGAGCTGTGCCGAACGAAAGTGCCACCAGCACACTTTTTTTTTTTTTTTTTTTTGGCTAGCGCTGCCAGCCATTGTGGTCAGGTAGCCCCGAGCCTCCAAAATTTCCGTAAGGCTGGGGGCATTTAATACAGTTAAGTTCGCTTTGCTGTCTGCAGCAACGTGTGAATGGCGTACGCATGTCTGCATGCTTTCATTGCTTTGCCAGTTGCAGGGATGGAAAACAAAAAGAAAATCAATCCCGTACCAGCACCGAGTGATCTGGCAATTCGACCCAGAAATAATTGCTCCGGCCCAGCGCTGCCCTCATCTCTTGCTCCCATTCCAAGCTCCAAGCCTTTGAGGCGGCAACTGAAAAACTCCAGCCCGCTTTCTCTGCCGCAGTTTCAAAAACAGACTTCGCCGCTTCATGCACTTCCTCTTCGACGGGGAGAACCTGGAAAAAAAGCAGCCATTGAAACACGTAAGTAATCAAACGCACACCGCCTTCTCCCAAAGAACCAAGATCCGCAACCTCTCTTCATCGAGCTCATGCATCAAGTCCATTGTCCCATCATGCCGTTGCATGCCACACCATCCCATGTCCGCCGCATTCCGGGCCATGTTATGCGATCCACGTCACGGTCGTCACCCCAAAGCCAGCAACGCAGCCACCCGAACACGTAAAAGCCGCACACCCCGTTTTCGTGCCAAGGACCACTACATCATCCAAAGCCAGAACGTAAGCTACACACCCCGTTTCCGTGCAAAGGGCCACCACGTCATCCCAAAGCCGACAATGCATCCGCCAGAACACATATGCTTCACACCCCGTTTTCGGGGAAAAGGACCACCACGTCATCCCAAAGATGGCAACGCAGCCACCGGAACACGGAAGCTATCCACCCTCTTTTCACACAAAGGACCTCCAGGGTCCTCCACGACCACATGCATCGGCTCCATCGTCCCATGCCAGTCCATGCCACGCCATCCCATGTCCACGTCATCCCATGCCATGTCCAACCGCCAACGCAGCTACTACTGGAACTCATACGCTACACACCATGCCCCGTTTCCGCCCAACGGACCAAGATCCTCAACCTCTTCGACACCTCGTGCGTCACCGCCATCCCACACATGTGTCGTCCCATGCCACATCATCCTATCTGTGATGAAAGTTCATGGAAGGGTTGACCTGTGAACACTGAACATGCTCAGAACATTCCTACCATGACAAACATCGTACTCTGAAGGATGTGATTCTAAAGAATTTGAACCCTTCTTTTGTCTATTTATTTTTTGGAAGTGTCTACACGAAGAAAAACAACAACGGAAAAAACACGCAAACAGGCAAACACACAAACACCCAAAGTCACAAACAGGTAAACACACAAACAGGCAAACATGCAAGCGAAAGGAGGGTCCGCAAGGTCCCCCTCTATAGCATGCATAGGAGCGCTTGTACACCCTTGCACCTCACCATACCACACAAAAGGTTTCCACAAAACAGATGATATAAAGAGCCGGCATATGAGCACACAAAAAATTTGAGATGCGAGAGCTCGTTGAAGACCAATCATGAGTTAGCCAAGTTGAAAACAGAACGACAAAGCCAAGAGCACACCAATCCAAGAACACACCGAACAGTGAAGTAAGTCTCTTGACAATGAAAGCCCTTCCCTCTTTGTGCCTCCACCAATCAATGCAAGAACATAGTACTAGCCCCAGCTATGTTGTGTCCGCCCACACTACTCTCCTACACAGCCTACACACATTTGCAAACTCTCTCTCTCTCTCTCTCTCTCTCTCTCTCTCTCTCTCTCTCTCTCTCTCTCTCTCTCTCTCTC